AAGATGCAATAATGCTTCGGCCTTTGTTGTGTGGCGAGAGAACGATGATATTCTGTTTCTCTCCTGGCTACACTGGAACCGCAAGCCAACCCACCGTGACCGACCAACAACACAACGAAAGCAGAACCCTGATGATGCCGTCCATACTCCCGTAAGAGACCTCCACCTTATTTCTTGTTAGCCTCAGCCTCGGCCTTATCTCTGGCTCGCTTCTCCCGCACACCCTGTAGTCTGGCTTCGCTCCTCACCTTGCGGAGCTTCGCGAAAGCACCACCCTCGATCGCCTTGGGTAGATCGCTCTTCTTGATCTCTGAAATACCCTCAACCACGGGGACGATGGGTAGGGTGGCTCCGACGACGGAGACGGTCTCGGTGTTGCTGAGGTCGATGTCCTTGCTATCACCGGCCTTGGGGTGCTTAGCACCCTTGCGGGGGAATACGATCAATCGTGCCTTGTAGGCCTTGAGGCGGGCGACATTGGCGGCGAGAGATTCTTCGCTGAGGTTCTGTCGGCGGTAGTCGACGGAGATACCGACGGTAGGGGCCACGAGGCGGGGGATACCGGCTTCCTATACAGATTGTTAGAACATCGCGGTCTAAAATGTGTAGTTACTAAAAGCGTGATGGGGGTAGCCGGAGAACATGGAATTGCTGAATTATGCGCAGGACATTTCTAGATAGGGATATCTACCTTCAGCTCAGTCAGAGTGAAACCACGTCCGGCACGAACGCGGCGGTTGTACTTGATGGTCGGGCATCGGACGACGGGTCTCAACTTGTCGACGGGTCGGGGAGCGACGGCAGCGGCCTTAGCACGACGCAGAGAGCGACGGCGGATCTTCTGGGTGGGCTATATTTTTTTTACGATGTTAATATCTGAATGATTTTCGGGTTCGATTTCATCTCGTCGTTCAAAGGAGATCGTCTTCATACCTGGTCGAAGTGGGTTCGGACCCGGCGCTGCCAATCCTTTCGGAAATCTGCATGTATCTAGTCAGTTTTACTGTTGCATTATGATCTGGAAGGGTAATTGATCGATTCGTATTCTGGGAATGGCTTCGATTAAACGTACGGTTGTGCTGAATCTGGTTGTTATGCTTGATCGCCTAGATTTCATATTTATTAGCGATGAATCGTCTTGAAAGAGAAGATTTCGAATAGACATTGCGACAACATCCATTGTTAGAGGTTATTACTCACCATTGTGACTGATTGCGATCAAGGGTTAGTTGTGGAATGAATGGTCGTCTATCGCAAGTCGTCTCAGTTCTCCAGATCAGAGGCACGAGAATTTCCCAGAGGTTGCAGCTTGAACCAACCCGCACTTTCGGCAAATTTTTTGGAGGGTTAGAAAACCCTACAATTTTCAAGTGGGGCCGTACACCTATTTGTGGGTTTGTGCGTGCGTTGTGGAAATGGGAAGTGGCTTAGGCTCTGGAGGGTCTGAGGCTGAAGTGGGCTACCTAGGTTAGGTACCTAGGTAGGTACCTATGGAACTGTGGAAGTTTTTTACAGGTACCCAGGTACTTGTATGGACCTGACTTGGTTAGCTGACTTAGGTACCTAGGTACCTAATCTGATACCTGTATCTAAGTTGAAATCCGCAAACGCATAAACGCATTCACATTAGGAAATCATATGCTAGTGCTCAAAATACAACAATAGGTACATAGGTACCTAAGTAGGTAGCTAACCAGACCACATCTCTCCTTACTTTAATGCCTCTAGCCCCTACTTCGGATTCCGGAAGCCTTACCTACACAACCTAACCCGATATTACATACTAAGTAAGACCCTTCCGTATAAAAGGTATGTCTACTTGCTAGAAAAATGATAAACATCTGATATAATTATCCCGACTCTACCAATTCCCTATGCTGCTGCCACGAACTCGGGGCGCTATACATTTCAAACGACTGTATTTGATCTCTATTCATTGCGCTGCTGTCAGCCTCTGAAGGCGGCACCGCGTTATATGACATAACGTGTTTGTTGGGTGCTGTGGTATTCACTTCCCCCTGGCCCATGTGCTGCGGTCGCCGGTTTCGTCGCAGGATATAGACCACGGCCACCACCGTACCGCAGACAAGGGCCAACGCACCCAGCACACCTCCAATTATAGCACCTATGTTGGTGCTTGTCGAGTCTGTTGAGGATTGCTGACTTGCTGTGGTAGATTCTAGGCCTAAGCCAGATTTAGTAGTTTTTGAGTACGATGATAGTGATAGCGGTCCTGCTGAGCTATCCTGCGTGCTTTCTGAGGCCGAATCTGTTACAGTACTACTTGTTGTTAAAGATCCCAATTCGGCTGTAGTTGTGAGGAGGTAGGTATCTGTCGTATCAAGCCCTCCACAGGCGAGATATGTATAGGTCGTCTCGTATTCACTTAGATAGATAAGTGCCGTAGAGCAATAACCAAAATCTAACAGTGAGCTACCACACGAGCAGCTATTAATACATAAGACAGCACATGAGTTAGGAAGACTTCAACTCACCAGGAGATCGTGTGTTCATATCCTATCATTCCACAGCCTGTAGAGCATTTTGCTCCGTCCGTGCAAACTCCAGCCAGTCCACAATCATTAAGATTCATATCAGTCGAGCAGAAACCCCATAGACCATTCATAGTATCAATACGACAGTCATAGGGTGGAGCAACGGTCCGGGTTATTGATGGGTTGCCGTCCTGGTAACCACAAGTGGGCGACATCCGAGTTGTGACATCCCGCAATCTAAGTCGTTCATGTGTAGCTAAAAGGTCTCTCCTATTGACCTGCGACATAGTAGTCTCGATAATTCTTAGTTCTATGACTGAGGCATCCTGGCAGGCAAGAATGGCAACTATCTCCCAGAATAATACAAGAAAGTGAGTAGTACGGAAGTTCGCGGCCATATTGATAATTCCATAGTCTATTGGGCAAACTTAGAAGTAATTAAATAGCGTACGCCAGAGTTAATAGAAATGGGGGGGGAAATAAAGCTTGCTAAGTTGAGTGTATGCGTGTTAACGTTAGAGTCGGACGAGACGCTTCAACATAAAATGTCTGCCAAGGTCGCCCCCTCGAAGCTCATACTCACCCTCCCAACTAGGTAGTCAACTAGGCGAACAGTTGGAAAGTAGACTGAACTGTCCCCCTGCATATCCTATTTTGTATCGTTTTTTCCGGACAAGAGCACTGCATGCGTAGCCAATAAGAAGTAAGTCCTATGGCCAAGTTATTGCTACTAGAAATTTACTTGGGTAAGACAGAAACAAGAGGCGGAAAGCCACCAGTGTGCCACTGATATACCACGATAGCCTTGACAGTATAGCGACACATATATAAGGCAACGGCATTATAGTTCCTTGGAATCATACATAATATTCTATCAAAGCTGGATTTGTAAAAACATTGCCTCGATTAGACTGAAAATGAATTTATATGGGTAAATATCCTTTGAATTGGCATCGTCTATATTATGCAATGATACAACGGTGTCTACATAGTAGCAGACTTTCCAAATTGTAAATTACCTGCCGACTATTATAAGCTACCAGCCGTACGGGATATGAGAGGGGCATTGTCGGATATGTACTACTACTGTAAAAATGAAAGAAGAACAGGGGCTATTTATAAATTGTGTACGCGGTAATGGAGGACAAACATCAAGCCATGGCGCTAAAATGATCACATATACGATATAATACGTCCGAGAGGTATCCATTGTCACACTTCAATGTATCATTCTTATCACAACGCGCAATAGACGCATCTCACAAGTTAATTGGATAAATATTCCCGCCCAAGACAACAATTGCTAAAAACAATTCACTAGGTACTTAGGGGCTGGCACCAGTCACTCTACGAAACGGAACACACATATTCATAGCCTCGTATGGAACCAGAAACGGGACGTTTTTTTGTGTTGTAATACATCTCACAACTACCCTACCTATAATAGTTCTTTCCTCTATCCCCCTGAGCCTAGAAAAATTCGATGATGATGAAACGGGCACGCTTAATCTCCCTTCAAGTGACCTGCCTGCTTCTTATTATTTTCACTCTCGATCTTCGGTAGTCTATCAATATTATGCCTCGCCTATTAGAATCTATTATAGATGGAATCGAATTCCTTGGTCCGATTGCCTGCGCTCTATCGACAGTGGAAGGTAACTCGGATGATGGCACGAGAGAAGTCCTTTACTCCCTCTAGCCTAAGTTAAAGGACTTGGGTATCGCATATTATGTTCAGTCGAGCGAGATAGACCCCAAGACAGGAGAAAGGATAGCAAAACTCGCGCAACTTCGAAACTTGGCCATCTCCCCATTTCTCTCACTTGCTGGCTTGACGCAAGATGCAAAGCCAAACCCCTTGCAGTTGTCGTTAGTGCCAAATATAAATGCGACTATCATCTTCTTAAATGAAGTAGCAATATGTGTATCTGACATCCTCGAGCTAATATACCATCAAATCTTCCAACCAGCAGATACGACTTGCGCTATGGACTAGACCTATGTTGGCTGCGATCCAATGTTCTACAACGTATGGGTAGCGCGCATTCTCCATATATAGTTTCAAAGGTGTAAGATATCTCTTCCTTAGTTTGCCGTACCATATGAGTACATGAGGATGGAATTTGTGACGTTGATAGTGCGGTCGAAAGCGATGGCTGGGTTAAGCTGATTAGGGAGCAAGTCCTTTTGATTAGAGAAAAAAGAGCAGTTTAAAATCCACCAGAGTATTTGGCTAGAGATCTAATTAATGACTGATTAATCCATTTGAATAATATGGAATTAATTCTATTGAACGCGGTTAGCCGATCCAGCACAACGGAAGTAATTTACATAAAGTGTAAGTTGAAGGTATTTGCACGTGTGGGTGACATGTCTACCTCTTACATGGACTCAAGAGAAAGCTGTGCGCGGGCGTAAGATATCAATTATCATAATGAGTCGATCATCATCCAGTGATTGACTCGTTGTCCAATGATCAATCATTAAAAAGATGGTCAATTATCTGCCTTGGTAGCTCAATTGGCTAGAGCGTGGGACTTTTACTAAACGGAAAATAATCCGGATTCTTCGAAATCCCAAGGTTGCGGGTTCGACCCCCGCCTGAGGCGTTTATACTTTTGCTGATATTTTTATTTCACATGTATTATATTCAATCTGTTTGTTCAATATTCTTTCTTTCCTACCTACGTTGTTGTTATCATGCTCATGAGGCAAACGGCAGTTTGCACTCCTGGCGGGTATGAGTTTCAGTTACCGGATATATCCCCAATTAGACCCGTAATTGCCTGCCGAGCTCCCGCAGCACCCCGATAGGTACCCGAGTACTTATCTATTAAAGGTTTCGTCATGTTTTATCGCATCAATGATCTACACACTACTACCTACCTGACATATCAATACATGCAACTCTGGCCAACGATATATCGGTCATGATCTATAGGAATCTACCAATCAGACGCCTAGTTGCTCTGGCTTCTAGATCCAAGATATTCGATACGTACGCTGTCTTGACCGGAGCACCAAAAAGATGTCTGCACGGCACGGCTTCCCTCCGTACCGATGGAGTATTTCGCGGCCTCACAGATAACCGCCTACCAACGCCGTGGATAGAAGCGTGGAGACTGCAGCAAGAAGGGAAAAATGTAGCCGCCGACGAGGTTCAACCCCAGGAACGCGACCTTGCCCCGAAAAAGATGAGCGATAGTTATCATCGAGTCGTGCTTCCTCTTGGCCGTGATCCATGGCTTAGCGACACTTACATTAACTCGTCTGGTCACATAAGGTCCTTGGGCTCCCCTCTTTAATCTCCTGGTTTTTCTAACTAGGACTCTAGGTTAGGCACAATATTCATGGATCTTGACGCCCTCTCGGGTATCATCGTCTATAAACATACCGGGCCAGGCGTAGCAGTTGTTACTGCTGCGCTGGACAGGATCACCATCTCCCATCCGCTGACCGAGATATGCGATCTCGAGTATAGCGGGCAAGTAACCTATGCGTCGGGACGGAGTAGCGTGGAAATCACTTGCAAGGTCGCTAGAGCCAGAGACGAAGGCGAACCCAGTAAGCCGGAGGATATATTGCTAACGTGCACCTTCACCATGGTAGCCTTGGATCCCAAAACCAAGAAACCAGTCAACGTACCGCGCTTAGAGTGCTCGACCCCAGAGGAAGAGAAGATCTTCAAAGCCGGGGAGGCCAAAGCCCTAGCCACCAAGCAAAAGCTCAAGACCTCACTGCTCGAGACGGAGCCCAACGACCCAGAGTCAGCTCTAATCCACAAGATCTGGCTCCGGCAACTAGCGTATCACGACCCGAACAACAATCTCCGGCAGCCGGGCAACGTGCTCGCCATGTCCAAGACGCAGCTCTCGACGGCGTCCATCATGCAGCCGCAGTATCGCAACCGGCACCAGACCATGATATTCGGCGGCTTCCACCTGAAGCAGACGTTCGAGCTGGCGTTCTGCTGCGCGGCGAGTTTTGCGCACGCTCGCCCTACGTTCATCAGCGCCGATCCGTGTACTTTCCGGAATCCAGTTCCTGTCGGTAGTGTCTTGTACCTAACTGCGACGATTGTGTATACGGACCCGCCCTTGTTGGAAGAGGACGGCAGCGAGCCAAGGCAGAACGACCCGGAGAATCCGGTTACGCGGTTGCATGTCAGGGTGGACAGTAAGGTGAGAGATGTCGAGCATGGGAACGCGAGGCCGACGGGCCAGTTTAATTACACCTTCTCAGTCCCTAAGGATGTCAAGGTCCTACCACGTATGTATACCTTTTTTTAATTCTTTATTTCTCGTCACCTTCCGAGTTTATCCCCATTGACTGCCCACTTCCGCTTTTTTGAGTCTCTCCTATAGATAATGCAATTAACTCAATATCTCAGACACATACGAAGAGTATATGATGTACATTGACGCGAGGAGAAGAGTGCAGCTCGCGGATGTGCAGGATCGCCAGGAGCATCCCGACTCGAAGATTCAACAGCTACAATCAGCTGACAACGTCAACCTCACGGAGTGACCCTGGCTACGTCGAGTTCAAAATTCTGGTCTCCAGCGTGTCGGGTTGGACTTTTGGGGGGAACTATTAGAAGTAAATATTATCTAGTTATATTATGTAAAAGTCAATTATTCTAGGTTTAGATAGGCGCTTTAAGCAGATAGGGGTATATAGACCGGCCCAACTGTATTTATATAAACAGGCCCGCCTGCAAGCGAGCAAAACCGGTTTACATTACTCGTGAAACTTCATAGAGCTTACTGCTAGTTATACTTATTTATACCTGGTTAGAACCCGATATGAATAATTGCTATACTTCTGTCTACTACTGGAAATCATGACTATTTCCGAATAAGCTAGATGAACGAACCATTGGCACATTATAAGGCATTTATGCGTTTCTGTGTTTCTGTACCTAGTCGATTGCAATACTGTGTTGTTCTATATGTACAAGGCCAGAGTTGGTAGATATTGCACTTCAGCATACTGATACATAGCGTCTGCATGGAAACAGATACTACACCCCACCTTTCAACCGCGAGAGCTCCCTGTTCTTCCGAGTAAACCCATGGCCCACAAGAGGCAGATCTCTCTTCTTCAGCTCCTCTTCTATAAGCTTAAATCGTCCAACTGCCTTCTCCCTGTCGCCGCGCGTAATGCGCTTCGTCGCAAAGGACACGTTGGGTAGCTGCACGAGGTCTTGCCGGCGCTCCTGAATCTCCTGGGTTAGGGTCTTGAGCTTGGGCGGTTTCTGCACCGCTTGTAGTAGTGACCGGACGTCTGTGATACCGGATAACTGGTGGTCGTGGACCAGTTTCCCGGTGAGCTGGAATATTCGCTTCGTAACCTAGGATCCGCCGCATTAGTCCAATATTCCGATGCTTCATTTCGATGAGAAGAACACAGGAACTCTAGCTGGGGAGAACTTACAGCGAACTTGATCCGAGGGTCCGACAGAGACACGGCCTTCCATCTATGACCCCAAGCATCCTTGTACTTCTGGGCCTCTTCCGTTGGGAGCACCGGCACACTTTTTCTCTCCTCAGCGGACTCATTGGTCACGGCAGACTCGCTCCTTTGGACCAGCGAGCCTACTACTGCAGATACATTCCCAGTCAGCGACACAGCGCCGCCCTTTGCTACGTTGATCTCCACGCTCAAGAGGCGATGTAATTCATCCTCCCCCGCTATCGGCCAAGCTTTGATTAGCTCGTCATCTCGCCCCGCCTGTTTCAGCGCAAACGCCTCCACCACGGCTCGCCGTACCGAAGTCTCAAGAACAGCGGGGTCAAGAACTGGGTTTGGCGGCTTGAAGCCGACGAAATCGGAGGACCAATGATCCGGTTGGTCCCACCAGTTTTTCAACCCGCCGACCGTCTCCAAGCCGTCCGCCGTCAAAGCAGGCACGTAGCTGGAATCTGAGACGTCGTCCAGCCGTTCGGCATAGCTACGTTGAGGAGGGGGGATATATGTCTGCCACTGCGACGGAAGATACTCTGCTTCTTCTATATCCTCTTCGGTTAGCCCCTGAAGCTCTTCTTTTTGTACTTGTTCGGTTTCAGGGGAAGAGCTTTGGGTCTGTGTGCTCGGCTGCTTGTCGGTTGAGTAGAACCTGAAGGATAAAGGACTTTGGAAGGTCGCCGGTATGGGCTGGCGGCACGAGGTCGAGATAGTCTGGGATACCGGTGCACATTGGCTAACTAGAGGAGTAATTGAAGAGCATGGCGCCGAGGCAAGCAGGCCGGAGGGCCGTCCTAATCGTGGTATCCGTCGCATTGTAGCTAATTGGCGAAGCTGTGGTGGGATTGTCCGGCTCAGAGGATATCTAGGTTAATCCGCAAATTGACTTCAAATGCTTGATAGAAGCCATGAACTTTTTTCGGTCCGCAAATGCTAAAGCTAGCTGCAAAATTCCCAAGTACATAGGTACCTAGGTATGTACCGATGTACAGTTTCGTGGGGCTCTGTGGAGCTGCGTGCCCTCCATGGTTTCCATTTCACATCTTAGGTAATGTACCACCTGTGTACCTACATACACAGGTAGGTACCTATGTACTTATCTAACAACCGCCTTATCGGCGCAAACATGTGCTCCCTGCATCAATCGCAACTTACATTCAATATTATTAGGTAGTTTCGAGGTATTAGTGATTTCGGTGCAGATATTCAACTAGTGTATTCGAACGGGTTATAAATAAGCAACTCCATTAGCTGCGACATTAGATGTACATGGCTAGTCAATGACTGCGACACGATGCGACTTCATCTCTTGGTCCTGCTCGTAGGGGTCTTCGTCTCCTATGTCGCCGCCTCCTGTAAGCCAGTCCAACTTGGCAGACACATGTCCGTACCCTATCCTATTAGCCATACTGATTTGTACATCTTAACCGCAGCCGCGCCGACATTCTGTAAATGCACCTGCTTCAAGAACAGCACATTAATACAACTCGGTCCGCAAGGCGACTCATCCTTCGGCAAACCCGAACACCCGGCGTCACCGCAACTCCAAGAGCGCGCCGCGTCGGCTTCCTGCACCCAATGTACCCGAGCTTTCTGCCTTTCGCAACATCTCCCTATATGTAAGGATGCTGAGGAGACCGACGTTATCACTACCTGCTTCCAGCGCGATAGCCGCAAGGACCAGATCATCGTCTGGGGCTTTATACTGGGAACCATTAGCCTGCTGGGTTGGGCTGCTGCTAAAAGAGTTGTTGAGTTCCGCGAAGGGAAGAAAGCTGCTGCTTTGGGATTGGGAGGCTCTGGCATAGGGAGTAGAGGTGGGCGAGGATCCCCCCAGGATAGGGGTGCGTATATGCCTGTTGGCAATGACGATACGCAAGAGGCAAATAGGTAAAAAGCAAGAGCATAGTTGATATCCGTGAATGAATTTTGGTCTAAAATACTGAGACTTTTACATTGCAAATGGCGTTTGGGGATGCTCCAGAGAAGTCATACCGAGATACTACCGTTCTCATATCTAGGTACATCAGTCTGCATATTAAAGCCAACGCTATACTGCAAGCTAAATGTGATCTGACGAGCAATAAATCAAACAAGTTTGTCTAATTTTGGTGTCATCTATAAATTATACCTAACGTCTAAC